AAACTGACCGGGTCATTATTTCCCGCAGATGTTTTAGTCTTTTTTGCCAACAATGAGAATTTTGGGTCATTTGGGAATAACAAGATTACAAATCTTCCAAGCCATTGCAAAGGAGATTGTTTTGGGGCCGGGGGGGGGGGGGGGGGTTAAATGGGGGGGGGGGGGGGGGGGGGGGGGGGGGGGTGGATTGGGAGGGGGGGGGGGGGACGACGACAATCTATGCTACTGCAGAGAGTTTTAGAGGGTTGAATGAAAAAAAAAAAACTTGAGTGTATAGATAAGGTCAATTTTCTTGGAATTAGTCCCACAGCTGAGAAGACTAACTTATTCCAAATCCATGTTTCTTTGTGTGTTTCTCATATAATAAGGCCGGGTCTTTTTTTTTTTTTTTGAGCCCCGAAAAAATGGCTAGGCCGTGTTTTCGGGGGTGACTTAATTCCCCCCCCCCGCCTGGCATCTTCAGGCGGGCGGGCGGCGACGGCTTGGATGTTGACCTCGGCGTTGGTGGGGCACTTCGTATCGGGGTCAACGCAGGCAGCACCATATCCGGGTGTGCAACAAAAGTACTTCCTAACAGCAAGCCCCCCCACCATTCCCCCCCCATTTCGCATGTTTTAATATAGGCCTTAATTCGGGGGGAGGGGCTTAATTTCATTTCATGCCTATAAAACATGCTGGGACTTCCTATTGGGGGAGGCCGTATTGTTGGAGAAACAGGGTAGTTTAAATCAGGAGTTACTTAGGATTAAAACTAGACCCTTCAATCTTGATTCACTTACATGTGTCGTGAGAACATTGTTCATCACTGGCTTTTCTGAAAAAAATATCCCTGGAGTGGCAGCTCCGTCGATGGCAGCAGAAACAGACAAACCAGGCTGTTCAGCCGCACCATTGTTTGGTAGTTTTTTTGGGGTCCCCAAAGTCTCACCCACCCCCTTACATAAATTTAAGTTAGTTGGATGACATAATGGTGGTCCTTTAAAGTTGATTTCCTACCCATAATTGGCTCAATCTTGGTGACTATAAGATGTGTGGTCTTCAACTCCCAGAATTCCTTTCTGTTCCGGGCATCTGGGTTCTCCCAGGGCTGACAAGTCAAAAGTGATCTATCATCCAGAAGGAAACAGGCCTCCACTATGATAAAGGCTTGCTTTTCAAATGATCCCAGCACGGTTCCTCTTATTTATTTATTTTCAGCTGTGCAAATGGTGGAGGTTACTATCATTACTCATATTCCGTGGTGCGGGGCTGTGATCGGATCGTGCCCGTGGACATCTATGTGCCAGGTAAAAAAAAACCAAAATAAAGCCATCAAGAGGTCTCTTCCTAGCTGGTCTTCCCCAAACCTCATCCCCAAAAAGGAAGGTCATTTGTGTCCAGAATCCAGGCTTCACTTCAACACTGGGCAAGGAATTCCAGACAGAATGGTAGAAGCCATAATATAGAGCATGTGACTCTTTTCAGCTTAGTTATAGATCAGTGTTTTTCAACTGCGACAACTTCAACTCTGGGAGTTGAAGTCCAGACACCTTAAAGTTGCCGCAGTTGAAAAACACTGTTAGAGGCAGCAAGTGAGTTGTCAGCAACCTTTGTTAAAATCAACATTTTTTTTAAATGCAGACTTGATAGGGGAAAGGGTTCCTTAACCCCCATCTTCACTCTTCCCTGAAGTTTAGAGAATGTTACCTTTGCTCTTTCTCTTCTGCCCCATTTAATGCTGCAACATCCAGGCGACCAGTAGGTGGAAGCAGAGAGCTGGGATTGGCTCATAGGCTGAGGTTGTCTACTACAGCAGGGGTCCCCAACCTGTGAGCCATGACCTGCTACTGTGGCAGTGACTGGTTGGTGCTGTGTGTGCACCGCAACAGGGCTGCATGAGTGGCTGGCTGGTGTGTGTGTTTGTGTGTGTGTGTACACTCAGGGCCACACCTCGCCCTGCTCAAGCGTTGCACACAGTCTTGACCGTATTCCTGCGAGCAATGGGTGCTTGCATGCATGCTTGTGCATACCCCTCCCTCCCACAAAGCCATCCTCTTTCCCTCTCACCCCACCCCAACTCCGGACCGCCAACGGGGAAAAGTTGGGGAACTCTGATCTACAGGTCACAGGGAAAACAGGCCGGTCTCGACTTACCACTGCTCATTTAGCAACTGTTCTCAAAGTTTACAATAGCATTGAAGAAAGTGACTTCTGATCGGTCCTCACGCAACCATTGCCGCCTCCCACGCAAATCAAAATGGAGGTGCTTGGAAACCGGCCTGTTTTTACCATTTTTGTGACTTTCCCAGCCCGCTTTGGACAAGCCAAGTCAGTGGGGGAAGCCAGATTCACTTAACGACCGCATGATTCACTTAACAGCTGTGTTGGAAGGGAAAATCCCTCTGGTTCAGTTCTAAGCCGGGAGAAAGGCACTGGAAACAAAATGGAGGATGGGGGCTAAGTGGGAAGAAAGGTTACATTGATTGATGAAGCAGAAGCACCAACCACGTGTAATTCTGGGACAGCTGACAAAATGGAGTTGAGTGTGGGTGGGCTTATATACCTTCTTTGGGTTTTGTACTTGAGCTTCCTGTTCCTGTGCAAGAACATATCCTTTAGTATTCTATTGGCTGTTGTCAGATTCCTATGGGCTCTATAGGCAAAAGGGGAAATGCAAATCTTAGGTGCTTGTCTGAGCTAATTTTGTCAACCTTTTGTTTGCTGCTTATCTGGAGTTTCAGTCTGATCCCAGTCTTTCTGAATGGATTACCAAATCTGCATTTCTAAAAGCTGGCCTCCTCAGTTTCTGCTTGGGGTAGAGAAACGGGGGGCTGTTTTCTATCTCTCTTAAGCGCATGCTTCTCCATTTCTCCCTTTCAGGGAAATATTCTATCCCGCCTTTTTAATATTCCCCCAAATATTTCATTCTTCTGGGGGAGGGAGAGGGGCTTCCCACAGCTGCAGTGATCTGTTTAACAACCATGTAAAATCAGGTGCTGTTCACTTAACAGTTGTCTTGCTTAACAACAGAAGTCCTGGTCTCAGTTTTGGTCCAAGGACTGCTTATCTTGCAAAGCTACGTTGAAGGGCTTTTTTTATACAGGTAGTCCTTGGCTTATGACCAAAATTGAGACCAGAACTTCCGTTGTTAAGCAAGACAACTGTTAAGTGAATGGCACCTGATTTTGCAGTTGATAAGAGAATCATGTTAAGTAAGTCCAGCTTCCCCCATTGACTTCAAAGGAAGGTCACAAACGACGATTATGTGGATAAATACCCCATAATAATATGCCAGTTGCCAGGCACCCCAATTTTGATCATATAATCATGGAGATGCTACGACAGTCATAAGTGCGAGGACTGGTTGCAAATCCCTTTTTTCAGTGCTGTTTGAATCGTTGCTAAACAAATGGTTGTGATGAGGGCCCCTGGGCGCTCTCTGAGGTTGGTGGTTTTCTTGCAGACATTTCATGACTAACCTAGGCAACGTCATCAGTGCCTGGAAGAAAGGAGTGGGGTTTGTCTGAACACTCCCTGCTAGCACTGATTGTGTTGCCTAGTTTGGCCATGAAACGTCTGCAAGAAAACCAGAGAGCACCAAGGACCCCTCATTTCAACCTTAAATTACAAATAAGTTGTAAGTCTATATAGTTCTCAATCCTAGAAGCTTTTCTACGTCTCGGAGCAATTTATGATGGGAGAGCTGGATAAAGCGAGATCCCCTTGGGAATTTTAAGATCTTCCCTCCACCTTTCTGAGGTCAGTGTTTTGGCTCTTGCAGGCTGTCCTCCTACTGCTGAGGCCCTCCTGTACGGGATCCTGCAGCTCCAGAGGAAGATTAAACGAGCGAAAGCTATCCAGATCTGGTATCGGAAATAACGGGCTTGTTTGCAAGCTGCCATGTTGAAAATGGCCGCCCTAACTGTAGCTGTAGCACGCATGTTAAACTGCTGTGTATAAACTTTGTCAATAAACGTATAATTATTCTATCTGGAGAAATGGGTTTGGAGCTTTTGAATGCTGCCTGCAAGGAGTATAAATCCTTCCATTCCCCGTCATCCAGTCAGAGCTGAAGAAGCTTCTTGAATGAGAAGCGAAACCTCTTCAAAAGAAAAAACAAAAGTCCAGTTGCCCTTTGAAAAAGCACCCTTGGGTCTCTAACAGAATGTGTGCTATTAAGCATCAACACCCCAATCAACATCTAAAAAGACACACACAACAGGCACCATAAAAATACCACACGCAGAACTGCCCAAAGCACACGCACTGCTAGAAAAAGGTTCCCCGAGAACGGGCTCCAGCACAGAAGCTCAGAGGACAAAATCTCGGGTCCCGGTGAGCAACCCAGAATGGATCCTCCAAATCAAGGATTACCTTATAATCCACTTGTCTCATTCCCAGCCAGTTTCCATCATATTCAGAATCACAAGGACGAAAATCTGAGTTTTAAGGAAAGGTTTGACTCTATGACGCACATACCGATGATTACGCTCAACGCATTGTCAACTCATTAAAAAAATTTCTATGGTCTTTTTAGAGTTGCCAACAGAAAGGGAGGGGGGAGCAGTGCAGCAGCTTGCAAACCGAAACTGCATTCCATAAATGTTTTCAAAGATGATAACTAGGTGACTGAAGTTTCTGCCGTGCAAAATACTAACTGGAGAGCATGATAGATGACTCTTGGCTATGGATGTGTCCCATTGGAGAATATGAATTATGATACACTCAGGGTGCGGGGGGAAAATCAGGGTCAAGGGTGACAATGAATTATGTGTTTCAGAGTCGGCTACACCCAGGCAGTGCCACACAGTTTTAACTCCCAGTAAATCCTTTTTAAGTTTTGGAAGTTTAGCTCATGATTTAAATGGGGGTAACTGCCGGAACCTGACACGCATCTCATCTCTAAATGAAGCACATGTGGCAGCCCAGATGTTCAGGTGTTGATTGCAGACTTATTTGGGAGGGACACAGCTGAAAGAGAGAGAGAGAGAGAGAGACACACACACAGGATTTTGGAAACACTGGTTAAAATAAATTCTTAGCAAGGGAAAACTCTAACGTGGCTCTTCCACACATTAGTTTTCACCTCTCCCATCTGCCATGAGAGAACATTTCATGTGACTGCTGGTGTGTCTTGCCAACACACCGATCCCTTTTTTTTGATCCTGAGAGATCTTCCTCCCTGGGAGACCTATTTGAGGATGGCAGGCACGATCATCTTGGGGAAGGCATAGTATCTGCAGTCAGCTGGAGGAATCAGGTCCATAAGGGTAGTGTGGATGTTCTTGGTCACAAAACCGGCCTCCATCAAGTGGGTAATTTGTGTTTCCTAAGAAAAAGTATCAAAGGGAGAATTACCCTGTGTTCCCACAACATGCTAAGCCACGGTTTAAAACCAGAAATATTTTTGTTAGGTATATTGCCAGAAAACTATAATAAAGGGATTACATATTTAATAATACATGTGCTGACTGCAGCAAGAATTGTATTGGCACAATATTGGAAACATGAGAATGCACTTACACATGAAAGTATAATTAGAAAAATATTAGCCTGTGCAGAGATAGATGAACATTAATACTAAAAGATAAGGAAGGAACGGGATATATTTTAACATGGGATTTGTTTCATCAATGGTTAGATAAAAGAGGTAGAAATTAGAAGATGAAGGATTACTGATATGTATAAGTAAAGGATGCAAGAATTTGATTATACGAAAGTAAACATAATTATTACAGTTGTTATAATTACTATTATTACCAGTATTGTATAAGTAAATTGATCCAGGCAATAAATAGTGTTTATTAAGAGCTTATATACTTTAAAGAAAAACGTATAAATAAAATTCAGAAAAAAACCCATACTAAGCCACAGTTTAAATAAACCATAACTGGCTGGATCCACATGACCTCTTAAGGCAGGGTGGGTCTACATTTTTCTCACAGATGTATCCAAAAGAGAAGGAAAAGGGGCCTGTGAGAATGCTACTGTCTTGAGAAGGACTTCTGTCAATGGGAACAGTCAAGAAGCTGCTTAGAAGAACCTCGTGTCTTTCTTGGTTTTGGGAGTCTAACCCTGCAGACAGTGGGCAGGACTTCTCATTTTTCTCCTTCGAGCAAACCACGTACATTCAGCAAGTTTTCTTGCAAGCCACACAGCAACACAGAGCTAATTGTGTGTTGTGGTGGTGAAGGTGCTGGGTTAGGGATGGGTTCTCCACCAGAGATGGTACTCAGCCGGTTCTGACCAGTTCTGGAGAACCAAGAGCGGAAATTTTGAGTAGTTCAAAGAACCAGCAAATCCTACCTCTGACTGGCTCCCCTGCCCCCATCTATTCTCTGCCTCCCATTGAGTCCCAGCTGATCGGCTGGGTCTTCTTTTGTTGCCCTGCGCGGGAGAATAGAGCTGGAAAGCAGGTTAGTGGGGTGGGGAGGAAATGGGGATTTTGTAGCATCCTTCCACTGCCATGCCCACACAACCGGTAGTAAAACAAATTGAATCCCACCACTGTTCTCCACCCAGTGAAGTCTCCTGCACTGCAGCTTTTTCCTGCTCTCACCTGAAACATCTTTTCGATGTCTGAATACTTGCTCTTCATTAGGTCCCCCCAGGAAGTCAAATTGCAATAGGTGAAGACCCCACCTGGCTTCAGGAGGCGATGGGCGTGCGCCTACAGGGAGAAAAGGAGCAGTGGCATTTGGTGGGGGTAGCGTTAGGCGCAAAGAATCAGGACCACGCATTAAGCTCCAGTTGATTTTATTGCTCATGCTCATACACAAGAATCTGGTCAACTAACGGTCAGCACTAAATTGGCGCTAGATAAGAATGAACAGAATTCAAGAGGGGTTGGATTTAGACTGTTTGTGGGAATGAATTGACTCCAGGTTGATTCCTCTCTTGACTTGTCCTTCTCCTATAGGAAGGGAATGCTCCAGAATCTGTTGCTTGGTGTGGTGGAATGTAGTCTGGATTCCCAGAGGGAGGGGCGGCATTCCAGAGGAACAGTTTGTATGGTAGAAAGAGGATGAAGACGATTCCTCCCTAATAGTTCCCACAGTATATGCTTTATGGCACGAGCTGTTTGCTTTAGTTTGGTAAGGTTTCTGTCCGTAGGCGAGGAACAATGAAGGAAGCTGTGTAGAAGAACATCAACATGTCTTTCTTGGTTTGGGGAGCCTGACCCTTGGAAAGAGAGGTTCTGCTTCCAAGCCAGGTGAAATTTCAATCGTATTTTCAGGATCGCCATTTTGACCTCCATCTTTTTTTCACCAAATGTCAAAAGAGTCAAAATGGCGACTACCATCATGTAATCACGATGCTCGTCAACAAAGTACAAAGCACTAAACACCACAACTGCAGTTGCCATTGTTACTTTTTTTAACCCTACTTTTTTTTTTCCAACCCAAGAGTTTGATATGAGTCGGAAAAGTCAAAATGATGATTGCACAACCACACATAATCCCCTGGGGTTATGGCAGGTGTGGGAGACTGAGCAACCGTGCTCAGGAATTCTGGGAGTTGAAGTCCACAAGTCTTAAAAGTTGCCAAGTTTGGAGACCTCTGCCATAGAGAAAGGCTGTTCTAAGTCCTCTCTTGGCCCCAAAAGAGACCCATATTCTTTCTCTTCCTCAAAACGGGAGAAGGGACATTCACAGTCAGCCTCTTGAAAAAGAACCAGAAAGGAGCAGGGTAGGCCGAGTGTTAAGATGCAGCTGACTGAGCTCAACCGGTCAGGTGCACCCATCGCATTCCTTCCTGGGACAAAGGACAGGCCACGTCTTCCAGGAGAAGCAAACAGGTTTGACCATTTGCTCCCTGGTACACAACCACTATTGTAAATAAACCTCAAAGGGCCCTGTTGCTATCTCCTTATCTGGGAGAGGGGGGGTGACTTCCAAGCTGAAAAACATATTAAAAACTCATTCAAGGTGAGCTCACCTTTGGGTCTTTGGTGCTCTCTCTAAGCTTGGTAGTGTTCTTACAAATGTTTTCTTACCGAGCTAGGTGTCCTGGGAAAATGACACTGCTTAATACAGCATGTCCACTCTAGCCGGCCAAACTTTCTAAACCAGGGATCTTCAAACTTGACAGCTTGAACTTCAACTCCCAGAATTCCTCCTCCAGTCATGTTAGCTCAGGAATTCTGGGAGTTGAAGCCCGCAAGTCTTAAACTTGCCAAGGTTGAGGACCCTTGTTCTAAATTCTTCTTTTAATACCTTTCATGGAGCTTTCCCCAGCCAGAACGTCGCCCTCAGGCATGTGGCAACTACAATACCCAGAGTTCTCAGTGAGAGGAAGAGGGGGTCGACTTTCAGTGGTGCCCATCTCACCTTGATGAAGTCAAACTGATGGGTGTGCCAGGTGTCTTCCGACAAGGGGTACGTGTCGTAGAGAATCCCTGCATGTGAGAAACAGAGTTTTGGATGTCCAGAAATAAAGGCTTTACGGTTATAATAATCATTTTTCGCTGTCTGGGAATGGGGTGCTCCTTAAATGAACTTCTGGAGGTTTTCCTTCAATCCATGAGACCCAGCCACAGTGGCCAACAATCAGGAACATGGGAGGACTCTTCCTTGTCTTCAATATAATTTGGCTGTCGATGTGCTATCATATATTTATTTATTTGTTGGATCAAGTGTTCAAAAGCACTTGTAATCCAGGGGTGGGTAACTATGGCAACTTTATGACCTGTGGACTTCAACTCCCAGAATTCCTGAGCATGGTTGCCATAGTGTCTCACATCTGCCATAACCCCAGGGGATTCTGGGAGTTGAAGTCCACAGGTCATAATATTGCCACAGTCTCCCACGCCTGCCATAATCCCAGGGGATTCTGGGAGTTGAAGTCACAGGTCATAAAGTTGCCACATTTGCCCACCCCTGCTGTAACCCTAGGGGATTCTGGGAGTTGAAGTCCACAGGTCATAATATTGCCACAGTCTCCCACGCCTGCCATAATCCCAGGGGATTTTGAGAGTTGAAGTCACAGGTCATAAAGTTGCCACATTTGCCCACCCCTGCTTGTAACCCCAGGGGATTCTGCGAGTTGAAGTCCACAGGTTGCAAAATTGCTAAAGTGGGAAACAATCACCCAGAGAAATGGACGCAATCCTGTTTCGTACCGTTAAAATGTCCATCCGGCAAGGTTGGTGCGACATCTTCCCACAGCCCTTTCAAGGGGACAACCTATGGGAGCCCAAGGAGGAGATGGAGTACAATCAATGAAGAGGCAAGCCGTGTTGCCAGAAAAGCATGCTCATGTTGTAGGGCAAAAGTGTCTTCGTAAAAAGAAAAAAAAATGTTTGCAATGCAAGTAAATGAGGAAAACGAGCGTTTTCATGGCCCCCCAGCAATCAAAGTCTCAGATCTGTGAAGTAGTCCAGAGAAGAAGCACCACCAGAAATTCTAACTCTATCCTTATTGTAAGATTCCATTAAAAGAATTTGGCAAGACTGAAAGTATTTTTATTTATGAGATTTTTATCCTCTCTGGTACTTTCTAAGCAACTTGAGGCAGCGAACAGCATACCTAGTACTCCTTCCTCCTCCTATTTTCCTCACAACAACAACCCTGTGAGGTGGGTTGAGCTGAGAGAGAGAGAGAGAGAGAGAGAGAGAGATTGGCTAGAAGTCACCCAACTGTCTTTCACACCTAAGGCGGGACTAGAACTCATGGTCTCCTGGTGATTGGCCCAAAGACACCAGATGGCTTTCATGCTTAAGGCGGGACTGGAACTCACGGTCTCTTGGTGATTGGCCCAAAATCACCAGAAGGCTTTCATCTGTCAGAAATGGTGTAGGGCATCCTACTTGGGTAGGGGGTTGGACTAGATGTCTAGTCCCTAGACTAGAATGTCTGTTGGTTATCTGTTGGTTATCTGTTATGCTTAAAACGGGACTAGAACTCACTGTCTCCTGGTGATTGGCCCAAAGTCATCCAGCCAACTTTTCATGCCTAAGGACTAGAACTTACCATCTCCTGGTTTCTAGGCTGACACCTTAACCACTACACCAAACTGACTCTCCCCTCCTGTTCCTCTCTGGAAAACTGAGGGGGAAATTCCTTCTGAATAGCTTCCCATGCCTTTCCTGGTATCCGTTATACCTCATTGTCTGCTCCTCTCCCTCCTGTCTCCCAAAGACCTTCTCACATGCCCTTACTCCCTCCATCTGCTCACAGTTGCCCAGTTTAGAACCACCTTATGGAATTGGTTACATCCCTTCCCTTCCCTTCCCCATTCATTGCTCTGGGGTCCCAGCTCCCCTTTCCCGTCCTGCATTGTGTTGGAACCCTGACAATGATCTTCATGATGTCCCCTGCATGATTTGCATGATGACATCATAGCGGGCGGGCTGTGGTTGCTTTCCTGCTGGGCATTCGTGCCCTCTCTCACCCAGGCCCCTTCGCTCCAACCTTGTGAGGCTGTGTTTTCGCCCATTCCTGCAGCCTCTGGAAGACTCCTTCGTTGCATTCGATGATCCAATGCTCCTGGACGTCAAACTCTGCAATTTTGCTGGCAGCAATGGCCATGCCAAAGCCAACCTCCAGCACCCGGCCTCCTGAAAGGAAAATTTGATTGCTTGACTGATCGATTGCATTTATATGCTGCCCCTCTCGCTATCCAAAGAGTCTTAGATCTGGTTAGCTAAGTTGCTATGAAAGCCACAGATATTATCTTGGAGAAACTATGCTTCTGTAGTTTCTTCCCCAAACCCCAAAAACTTCAACCTTAGACTGTCTACTATTGACCTCACCCCTTTCCTAAGAGGTCTGTAGGGGGCGTGCATAAGTGCACCAACGTGCCTACCGTCCCTGTCCTATTGTTTCTCTTATTCTTCTTTTATTTTTCTTATATGTACCCATTTCATGTATTCACAACTATGTATACACTTATACTTATTATCTTGTAAACAATTGGCAAATCAAATAAATAAATAAATAAATAAAAGATTACAAAGACATGATTTCTTTCTTGTCTGAGAGAAAGAAAAACTCAAGATGGTCGCACCTTGACTCTCTTTGGCATAAAAGGAAGAAAAGAGGGGGGGGGGAAATCAGTCAATTTCAGAATTCGGTTACTAGAGGCTCTGTACATAAAATAGAATTTCTGTCTTTCTTGAGGAATCGGTTTCTTATCCTAAAAATAAAGCCTTAAGAATGTCAGATCGAATTAATTCCTAGAGAAGAACCAGAGATCTGCAGCCTAGACTGGCAGAAAGAGGAGGAAGTGACAAATTATTTATCTATTTTTGCCCAGAAAACAAACGTTCTTGCCTGGTGGCTGGCTGGGTGGGCGTGGCCTAGTCGTCCTCCTGCATCACAGTTGGGAGGGGGGCGTTTTTGCCCTGCCCGGGCTCCAGAGGCTTTCCTTGAGCCTCCGGGAAGGTGAAAACGGCCTCCCGGAGGCTCATTTCTGGTCCTATTTCTGGTCTTCCCGAACTTCTGGGAGGCCCATTTTTTGCCCTCCCCAACCTTCCGTGTGTATCCTGCACTTACCTGCATCCAAAGTAGGCTACGTGGGGACTCCGGGGAGGGGAGGGGCAGGGTGGGCGGGGCCAGCCAGGACTGGGATTTGGGGGTTCTCTGAACTGCACAGAATCTTAGCTAGCGGCTCTCCCGAACCCCTCCGAACCCCCAGCAGCCCAGCCCTGGTTCTTGCTTTCTGCAGAATAAGCTCCTATTCTGTGCCAGGGGCTGAACCCTTTTCTCCATTACACCATGACTGGTAGTCCTCGACATTACAACCACAATTGAGCCCCACAGTTGTGTTGCTAAGCGAGACATTTGTTAAGTGAGTTCTGCTCCATTTTACGACCTTTCTTGTCACAGTTAAGTGAATCACTGCAGTTGATAAGTTAGGTGTCAACTCATAAAACATTTCGTATACACGTTTTATAGTTGGCAACAGAAAAAAGGGGGGGAGTTTCAAAGAGCAGGCGGCAGTGTGGAATCGAAAGTACATTCCATTCATATTTTCTTCAGGGACTGATTAGATGACTGAAGCTTCTGCCACACGCAAAAATCTAATTGGAGAGAGAGCATGATTGATGACTCTTGGCTATGGACGTTTTTTTTCCGCAGGATCAAGTGTGACAGTGAATTACGTATCTTGACTACGCCCAGGTTAATGCCGGATGTAGAATGTTATCTTCAAATAAATCCTCTTTAGTTTTGGGAGTGTGGCTCGAGGCTCATGAATTAATTGGAGTAACTGCCAGAATCCTGACATTAGGTTGCTAAGTGACTCTGGCTTCCCCATTGACTTTGCTTATCAGAAGGTCGCAAAAGGAGATCCCATGATCCCGGGAGACTGCAGCCGTCATACATGTGAGTCAGTTGCCAACCGTCCATATTTTGATCATGTGACTATGGGGACGCTGCAGCAGTCATGAAGTGTGAACAATGGTCATAAGTCTTTTTTTTTTCAGTGATGTTACTTTGAACGGTCATTAAATGAATTGTTGTAAGTCGAGGGCTGTATTTCAAACACACACACATACACACACTATTTTCTGGAATTTCTGCGGAACGGTCTCCTTCTCCGGCCCTGTGCAAGCTCGGCCCAAATCGCTATTTTGCAGCAAGCTGTTGTCTTGGAGGTTGGAAGAGACCTTTGCCTCTGGCTCAAGGGAACAGCAGCCCTTATCTTGGGCCTCAGCTTGCAGCTGTCAGCAAAGGGCGAGACCCCTGAAACGCCCAGCCCCCCCCCCCACCTTCCCCCCCCTCCAGCCTTTCCAGACAGACTTTTCACCACAGAGCTATTCTTATCTCGGTTGCAGTGCAGACAACTGGAAACAACCAGGAACTTGACTCTGGTGGGTGTGAGCATCCATGGGTTTGGGGGGGGGGGGGGTTGGTTATGCTGGGGGGGGGGGGAACTTGCTCAACCGAGAGCAAAAGACCCCCAAGAACGTATCTATGTCCCTACCCATTGTGCTATTCCTTATCGGAGTATGCGATGTTATGCGAAATGCAAAAAAGGACTAGGATGGTGGTCCCTAACCTTTGCCGATTGGTGGCCCGGGGTGTGTGTGAAGAGGGGAACCAGGCCATGCAAGCGGTGGGCCGGTGCGCACAGGCATGTCCGTGCACATCAATTCACCACTATGGCGGGTCAAGCTGTGCACGTGTGCATGCGTAGCAGCCCCATGGACTGGTTGCAAATAGGCCGCTGTCCGATAACGGGCTGCAGCCTAAGGGTTGGGGACCCCCAGAGTAGGATGTAGCAGGTGCATGGAATCAAGCATCAGGAGCTAAGACAAGGGAGATACAGGTAGTCCTCAATGTACAACAGTTCGTTTAGTGAATATTCAAAGTTACAACGGCACTGAAAAAAAAGGGACTTCTGACTCTTTTTCACACTTCCAACGGTTGTAGCATTCCCGTGGTCACATGATCAAAGTTCAGCCACTTGGGAACTGACTCACATTTATGGCCTTTGCAGTGTCCCGGGGTCATGTGATCATCTTCAGTGACTTACTGGCACCTATTCTCCAAAGCAGGGGTCGCCAATCTTTTGGACCTCCGGGACCACCAAACTCATAATTTTAAATCCCAGGGACCACTGACTGGTTCTGTGGGCGTGGCCTAATTTGTGGGTGTGGCTTGGTGGTCATATAGGACTGGCTGGGCATCGCTTGTATGTAAATATTATAAATATTTTTATAAATATTGAATTTTTTATAAAAAAAAAAGAGCAACTTTTACCCAAAATCAGGCAAAGCAGGCAGGCAGATTGAATTGCTCACAGAATCATTCAGTGATCTACCGTGTTTCTCATATAATAAGGTTTGGTCTTATTTTTTTTTTTGAGCCCCCAAAAAATGGCTAGGCCGTCTTTTCGGGGGTGACTTAATTCCCCCCCCCCTTGCATCTTCGGGCGGACGGCGACGGCTTGGATGTTGACCTCGGCGTTGGTGGGGCACTTCATATCGGGGTCAACGCAGGCAGCACCATATCCGGGTGTGCAACAAAAGTACTTCCTAACGGCAAGCCCCCCCCACCATTCCCCCCATTTCTCATGTTTTAATATAGGCCTTAATTTGTGGGGAGGGTCTTAATTTCATTTCATGCCTATAAAACATGCTGGGACTTCCTATTGGGGGAGGCCATATTGTTGGAGAAACAGGGTATCTATCTACCATCGGCTAGCTTAGTCTGTCACATAAACTTTGCTTGCCGTGAGTCTGCACTGAATAATAGAACCTTCAGTCCTAAGGGAGGTTCGGCTGTGCTTAAAAGCAGAACTGAAGATCTAAAGACTAGCTAGAAAGCAAGAAATCCAACCATTTCCTGCTTCCTAACTAACCTAAATCTCCAGGCACAGCAGAACAGCTGATGGTCAGAAAAAGGAAAAATAGCAATTTAGCAGGCAAGTTTGCGGGGTAAGGAGTGAGTGGGCGGGGAGGGTTCCCATGGGCCATGTGGGTGGTGTAGCCTTGTGCACAGCCTGGATTAATTGCTTTGTGGGGTGCTTTGGGGGTGACATTTCTCTGCGGCCCACCAACATTTTCTCCTGGACCACCAGTGGGCCGTGGCCCACTGATTGGCGACCGCTGCTCCAAAGCACCAGAAGGCAGGACAAGAAGCAACGGGTGGAAACTAATCAAGGAGAGAAGCAACCTAGAACTAAGGAGGAATTTCCCAACAGTTAGAACAATTAGCCAGTGGAACAACTTTCCTCCAGAAGTTGTGGTTGCTCCAACACTGGAAGTTTTCAAAAAGAGATTGGACAACCATTTGTCTGAAATGATGTAAGGTTTCCTGCCTGAGCAGGGGGTTGGACTAGACGACCTCCCAGGTCCCTCCAAGTCAGTGGCGAAGCCAGACTCACTTAACAAATATGCTACTAATTTAACCACTGCAGTGATTCACAACAACTGTGGTGAGGAAGGTCATAAAATGGGGCAAAACACACATTTGCAAATGTGTAGCTTTGTGGAAATTTTGGTCTTGGTTTCGGTTGTAAGTCGAGCAAGGTAAGTTGAGAACGTGTCCCGTAAGGCGATCTTACCTTGTGAAGCAGCCACGCTGGCCAAGGCATGCATGTAGGGGGTTTCCCACCGCTCCATCACCGGCTTCCCCATGATTTCCAAGTGAGTGTTGGCTGGATTGTAACCCGCAGTGGCTTCCTTCCAAGAAGTCTTACAGTTTTCCCCTTCCAGAAAGATGGGACAAGCCATGTCGGAAGGTCTAAGGGCACCTTTGGAAGGTGAGAAAAAAAGATTGGAAGAGGTTGTCAAAGCTCCAGGGATCTGGAACTGGAGCCGCTGGGCTCCTGCTGAGCTTGAAATAGTTGTGGGGGTGGAGCAGAGGAGGAGAGCTGAGTGAGCGAAGGGGAGTTAAGGGAGGAAGGGGGAGTTTGCAATTCCCGCTTGGAAAGCGGGGCAGGTGAAGGGGACACCTTCTGGAGAAACTGAACCATTGCAGATCGTCAGGTGTAGATGGCTCTTGTTATTGGGTGGGATAAAGCAGAAGAACAGAAGAATGGAGTTGGAAGGGAACTTGGAGGTCTTCTAGTCCAACCAGGGGACCCTATCCCATTTCAGGCAAATGAAATTGCCCAACCAAAAAAGCCAATGCAGTCCTAGGCTGCATTAACAAAGAGGCAGAATCGAGAGCAGGTGAAGTGTTAATGCCACTCTGTAATGCCTTGGTAAGGCCACACTTGGACTTACTAAATCCATCTTTTGTCACCATGATGCAAAAAAAAAAAAAGATGTTGAGACTCTAGAAAGAGTGCAGAGAAGAGCAACAAAGAGGATGAACGGACTGGAGGCTAAAACAGGGGTTGCAGGAACTGGGTATGTCTAGATTAATGGAGGACCTGGAGCAACATGATAGCAGTGTTCCAGTATCTCAGGGGCTGCCACAAAGAAGAGGGAGTCAAGCTATTCTCCAAAGTACCCGAAGGCAGGAAAAGAAGCAACGGATGGAAACTAATCAAGGAGAGAAGCAACCTAGAACTAAGGAGAAATTTCTGGCAGAACAATCAGTCAGTGGAACAACTTGCCTCCAGAAGTTGTAAATGCTTCAACACTGGAAGTTTTTAAGAAGAGACTGGACAACCATTTGTCTGAAGTGGTGTAGGGTTTCCTGCCTGAGCAGGGGGGTTGGACTAGAAGACCTCCAAGGTCCCTTCCAATTCTGTTATTCTGTACTCTATTCTGTACGGTTGTCCAGTTTTGGGGGCAGGTTTGATTAATTGTTCACACTGTCAGGAAATTTCTCATTACTTCTGGGCTGGTTTGCTCCTTGATTAGTTTCCATCCACTGCTTCTTGTCCAGAATATTTTGGAAAAAGCTGAAGCCACTAAAGTTGGACTATTTTTTTTTCATGAATAAAAATGGGGATGGAGAACAAATGAAAGTACTCTAATCCTTTGTGCTGCTAATTTTTTTTTTAAGTTTTAAGTTTTAACTTTTTTTAACAAACAGGTTGGATTAATTTGAGCCACACTCTCTCTTAGCCCAACTCACCTCACAGGGTTGTTGTGGGGGGAAAGGGAGGAAGGTGTGTTGGAGGTGTCCACTGCCTTGAGATTTGTTAAAAAAAAGAATTTTTAAAAAACTGATTGCTTATTGTACCCTATGACTATCATTAAGTGTTGTACCTGATGATTCTCGACTCTTGACGAATGTATCTTTTCTTTTATATTCACTGAGAGCATTTGCACCAAGACAAATTCCTTGTGTGTCCAATCACACTTAGCCAATAAAGAATTCTATTCTATTCTATTCTATTCTATTCTGTTCTATTCTATTCTATTCTATTCTATTCTATTCTATTCTATTCTGTTCTGTTCTGTTCTGTTCTGTTCTATTCTATTCTATTCTATTCTAAGATGATTAAAGGCTTGGAGACTAAAATGTATGAAATCTATTCCTATTCTATTCTACTCTACTCCATTCCATTTTTTCTATTGTATTCTGTTCTGTTCCGTTCTATTCCTATTCTATTCTGTTCTGTTCCGTTCCATTCTATTCCTATTCTATTAAGTCATAGAACATAAAATAACAGAGTTGGAAGGGACCATGGAGGTCTTCTAGTCCAACCCGCTGCTCAAGCAGGAGAAACAAATAAATAAAATAGAAATCTGACTGTCTGACAATTTTGACAAGGCAATCTGATGTTCTGATCTTATCCATTGATAAGGCTCCATTTTTAATGAATGATCAATTAATTTGATTCCCCTGACCTTACTTAGAAGACTGGTATTCTTGTGAGGTCTCCACAGGCAACTTTTAGCCAGAGAAGATAGCAAGTTCTTTGATTTTACTGTAATATCGAGTTAAAATTGCAGTCCCCCTATAAGTAGTATGGATTTTGGTGAGGTATCAGGAAGAATGTTCTAACAAGGGCAGTCAGTTTGGTCTAGTGCAGAGGTCCCCAAACTTGGCAACTTTAAGACTTGTGGACTTCAACTCCCAGAATTCTCCAGCCAGCACTGGCTGGAGAATTCTGGGAGTTGAAGTCCACAAGTCTTAAAGTTGCTAAGTTTGGGAACCCCTGGTCTAGTGGTAAAGACACCAAGTTGAAACCAGGAGGCTGTGAGTTCTAGTCCTGCCTTAGGGATAAAAGAAAGCTGGGTGACTTTGGGTCCATTACTCTTTTTCAGCCCAACCAAAATTATAGGGGTTTGTTTGTTAATTATTTATTTATAAAATATATACGCCACCCATCTTGCTTCAAGGTAAATGGACAGCGTTGTTGTTATAGGGATAAGATAGTCCTTGACTTACAACCGTTCGTTTAGTGACCATTCAAAGGCACTGAAAAAAGTGACTTAGGACCATTTTTCATACTTGCGACCGCTGCAGCATCCCCATGGTCACGTGATCAAAATCCAGGTGCTTGGCCACTGACTCTTATTTATGACGGTTGCCATTTCCTGAGATCACCTTTCGTGACTTTCTGACAAGCATAATCAACGGAGAAGCCAGATTTACTTAACAACCATGTTACTAACTTAGCAACTGCAGAGATTCACTTAATGACAGTGGCAAGAAAGGTCATGATATGGGGCAAAACTCACTTAGCAACTGTCGTGCTTAACAATATTTTGGGCTCAGTTATGGTCATAAGTCAAGGACTAAACTATAGGAGGAGGAAAGAGCAAGTATGTCTGTTTATCATCCTAAGTTATTTATAAAGTCATGTTAAAGGCACCAGGTTAGAAACTGGGAGACCATGAATTCTAGTTCGGTCTTAAGCAGGAAACCAGCTGGGGCTTTTTTGGGGGGGACAGTTCCTTTCACTCAGCTCTGGGAAGCAGCAGGCAATGGCAAACTATTTCCGAAAAACGCTGGCAAGAAAATTGCAAGGATTTCTCCAGGCAGTTTCAGATGTAAAGGCCGACTTGAAGGCAGGTACGCACAAGCCATAACAACAAGTTAACGCAGTGGTTAAGGATCCGGATTAGAAACAGGGAAGCTTCTTGTCCTGCCTTAGGCATGAAAGCCGGCTGGGTGACTTTGGGCCAGTCCCTTTCTCTAGCCCCAGAAAGGACAAGGAAAATCCACTTTTTGGAAATGCTGCCAAGAAACCTGCAAGCACTCATCCAGGTGTTTTAGGAGCCAAGAGTGATTCAAAAGGACAAGAACATAAAGTAAAATAAAAGCTCTTCAACAACAGCAGATGATTTCTCCACCCCTTTGGTGGAGATATTTAAAGCAGAGCTGAATACCCAGAAATTGGGGAGATTACAGTAGTGGGTTTCCTGCAGTGGCAAGTTGGAAGTCGGACTAGATTAATTTCTATGGAGATTCTCAGTCATCTAGGTCATGGTTGTCCCAAAGGTGCTTTTTTCAAGAGACAACTGGACTTTCTGGATTTTCTTTGAAGGACGTTTCACTTCTCATTCAAGAAGCTTCTTCAGCCCTAGCTGGATGGTGGGGAATGGAAGGATTTATACTCCTTGCAGACAGCAAGATAAAGAGCCACGTATGTCACAATTGAACAGCCCTCTTCCAACAGAGCGGGAAGGATACAATATCATATATCTCCAGTCTACAACACAATCCTTTCAACAGTTCCAAGAAGGCTCCACACCCATTTGCACTTCTCAGGTGACCCTGAGGACACAGATAAACCTCCAGGTGGCCTCAACAACTCTCTAAAAGGATGCAAATGATCCGCAAGGAGTATAAATCCTTCCATTCCCCACTATCCAGTCAGAAGTGAAGAAGCTTCTTGGATGAGAAGTGAAATGTCTTCAAAGAAAAAAACAAAGTCCAGTTGGCTCCTAAAAAAAAACACCTTTTGGACTAGATTATTTTTTTTTTTCAAACTTAGCAACTTTTAAGATATGTGAACTTCAAGGTCGTAAAATGGGGTGGAACTCATTAAACAATTGTCTGGAATGGAAATTTTGGACTATATTGAGGACTACCTGTAGATTAAATACCCTCCAAGTCCTGGCCTTCAGGACACCATAGAAAGCTTCCTTACGACATCAAAAACTGTTGGTCTGTTAAGTTATTTACACAGACGGCATTCTAAACAAAACCATTATTTGGATGAATTGTATTCTTGCCTTGGAAACCTGTTTTGAAGTATAAAAAAAGATGTTAAATTATCCGTCTCTGCAGAATGAGCAGCTAAGAAAGATTTGTGGGGGTTTGTGTGAATCCAGAAAACTGAGTCCAATACTATGGTGGTTAATCTTGTTTGTACAAACTCCAGATGCCCACATGCTCACCTTACACCAAAGATATTAATTTAATTCCTCTCTACATGAACCTCTTGAGGTGGGAACTACAGTTCCCATCCTCCACACTACTTGGAAGCCACCAGATTAAGACTGTTGTAAAGGATTAGCACACTAGCTTGAAAACTGCTGCTGTGTTAATAGCATGATGATATTTTGTTTTCGTAACTTTAGGGCTGCGTTGTTTTTTTTAGTCATATCGATGGGTTTCACAGCTAAGGCAGCATACGATTGATCAATAATACTTTTTTTCTCTAATAAACCAAATAGTTTCTTTTTCATTCTACGGATTCCAGCCCACATGCAGGCGCTTCCATTTCGTTTCTCTTCTTCCTCCTTTTAAACCGCACAGAGACGCAGAATCGAAACTATAATTTCCTTCTTCTACGGGACTACACTTCCCAAAAGTCCAAAGACAAACTTCCGGAACCGAACACGCTCAAGCGGTCCACTTCCTTAAAAAAAAATAAAAGAAAAAAAGAAACCAAGAGAGAGAAAAGTACAGTAACTACATCCCCCATCATACCCTTTGTTCCTTAAAGCGGAAGTCAGACCGCGTGCAACCACTCTACCCGCTCCTAACAAAGAGAATG